GTTGATTTAAATCAAGTCAATTTAAATCATGATTTATATCACTAGTAAAAAGGCTTGATTTAAATCAACTCAATTGAAATCATAATTTTTACAGAGCCACTGTCATCTCTGTCCCACAGAGACTCCTCCTCTGACCCCGCTGCTGACTCATCAACAGCCCCAGTATTGCAGAATCTACACCCTCATATGCTATATAACTAAACTCTGTTTCATGCTGAGTAAACTAAATTATGAATATATCTTAAATAGAAAAGTATCTTTAGGTAGATTTTTACTCCAAAAGCATTTTATTAAAATAAATTTTATAAACATCAAAAAAAAATTTTTTAAAAATCATTGCTTTTTATCCACCCTGTCTTTCTGTCTATCATGCTTTCTAAAATGAATTCTGCCAATTTTTGGCTCCTAAAAGATTTTAGTGCTTGCTCAGATGAATAGTATTTCTGTCAGCCGCTTTTTACTTCAACTTTTGTTAGTCGAGAGGCGAAGAAAGAAGAGAAACAAGACTTCACTCTGGCAAGCTTCAACCTGCTGTAAACAGACCTAGATGCACTTAGGCGTTGAGCATCACGCCAGCAGTTGCACTGCTATGATTCTGACTGCAGCTAAGATGCAGAAACAGCTCTTTTGAGGAACCCCCCCACCACCATCAATTTCTGGAATTCCCCTCTTAGTACACAGGTCCAGCTTGTGTGATCTCACCCTAACCCTAACCATGAGTAGTGGAGTTGTCGTCATCAAACCAACCTAGGTTTGGGTTGAAAGAAGGCCAACTGAATGCCACCAAGATCTTGTGGATTTTGCTTGCTCAGGGCAGGGGTCATAGGTCAGAACCAGTCATCCTACTGAAATTCATTGATAGCAATAGCACTTAGACTTATAAAGCACCCCACAGTGCATTACAGCATCTCCTGAGCACTTATTGTATAATGTCAACATATTTCTCTCAACAACCTGAGTCCTCGTTTGACCAACCTCAGAAGAACGGAAGGCTAAGTCAACCTTGAGCCGGTCAGGATCGAACTGCTGGAAGTTGGCAGAGTTAGCCTGCAATACTGCATTTTAAGCACTGCGCCACCAGGGCTTAAACTGAGAGAATGAGTACCATTGACCCAACCAGCTCTCCCTGGTTTTCTGGGAAGTAGCTGGCAGAATGCAAATGGTACAACAGTTGTTGTGAGACGGACTGCGGCCCATGTGCCAGCCCTCCTATCACACCACAAGTGGAGCAGTTTCAAAGGAGGCTCCCTTTATCGTCTAGCAGAGGTTTTCAAAGCAGTTCAGAGATTGCCTCTGGAACCCCCTAAAGGAGCGCTCCCCAACCTTTCCTGCTGGGCAGACTGGCAGAGGTGGTACAGGGGGAGAAGGGATGGTTTTGCATGCCCCCCCCCACTTCCTGAAATGCAGCTGTGCACGCACATACATGCGCTTGCCCACCACTTTTGTGGCCCAGTTTCAAACAGACTGCGGCCTGTCACTGGGTCATTGAGTGGGGATTGGGGACCCCTTCCCTAATGGGGCCCTTCAGGGATGAGATGGCTGCCTGTGCTGTTGCTGAGGTTTTCAGCTCTTCGTTTGCAGATCTTCTGGCTCAGTTATGTTTGATTGCTTTCTATCTTGAAGGCCTCAGGAAGGGCCAGTAAACTTGTGCTTGTGGCCATCTTTTGTTTTCTGGCCCAACTTGACTTGAGGTGGCTGAGTAGATCCAGGGAGAAGCGCATTTGTCTTTCTGCAGTGAAAAGGGACGTCGTCAGCCCTACCGCTTGCAGTCTGTTTTACTGGGATTTTTTGAGAGGATGCTCTCTCTCTAGATCACCTGAAGCCAGAAGCAACGTTCCTGGGGGGCGGGGGGGGAATCTAATTCTCAGAGAAGATTTAGAAGCAAAACAATCCGGTGGGGAGAGTTTCCTATGGGGAGGATTGTC